ACACATTGGATTTGTGAAAGAAATTGGGGTGACAACCTTCTACTACTACTACCCTCACTCACTCTTTGCTAAATTAATTAATTATACAAAACTATTTTTTTCTCATATATTCAAATTTAATTATACCCTTAAATCCACTTTTCAATCCTTATATTTACATGTGTAATTTTGGTTCCGCAAAATTTTTTGTTACAAATTTTAAAGAAAAAAAAAATGTCTTAATTATAGCCTTAATCATGCTCATATTATTATAATTGTTAAATTTTTGCACATAATAAAAATAGAGTATGGATTCTCGGCTAAATATATTGTCCCACAATTTGTGATATTTTTATTATGATTCCTCTGATTAATTTTTTTTTTTACATAAAATTCTTTGTATATATATACGTGTATTATTGGCAGCACAACTTTAATGTAATTTTTAATACCATGCGAGGTTTGTAAAACAGATAGAAGCCTATGTTGAACAGATATGGGCTAGAACGTAGAGACCCACTCCATTTATTTTTTTTTGCGTGAGAAAGCCCACTTACTCTGAACCAAGGCACAATAAAGTTAATAAAGTACTATTATAATTGATCAAAGTTGAAAATATAAACGGAATGAAAGCTAATATGTCATGAGTTTGTTCCATCTGAAAACCAAGATACTGTGCATTCTCTCTGATCTTTCTTTTCTTGTTATAGTAATTCTTTTTTCTTTCTTCTCCTTTCATGATCCTCTTTCATTCTCTTTTCCTTTTCTTTTACTTTGTTTCCTTGGTTTAACGAGAAAGTCTATACTTTACGTACTATGTATGATTGATATTCCACACTAGAGATGCTTTGCTATCAATCATATTCATTGACACTGTACACAATATCCTGAATTAAACTTTGATTCAAAGTTATTAGTACAATCCCTCAAAAAAGAAACAAACAAATATTAGTATTGTTAATTCGTCGGCATATAATAGCTCGCGGTCAAAAATTAAAATAGAATTATTAAAATGTTTGCTGGGCTAGCTAGTAGTATAGTTCCTTTTAAAATATTATTTGATGGGTATATTTGCAATTGTATTTACCCATATAATGCAGAGTCAGTAAAATATACATTTCGTCTTGGTAAAGAGTGTGTCTCACACGCGTATATTATTTATTCTTGTTTTTATTTGTTTGAGAAGGTAGATGCTGAATTAAAAATAAATAAAACATTTTTAAAAAATGTAAATAATAAGAAAAAATGTTACTTGGCTGTGGTCCCAGGAATCCCTTGGCTCTTCTGTCCATATATCGATGGATGAGTTTACAAGTTTAAGAAGTGTAGTTGGCTCTTCTCTTTCCAACCCTCAAAAAAAGAGGGGGAAAAAGTGGCAGGTAAGGCAAGTAAGGAACGTGTGTGGAACTAATTTTTAAGGTAAGTAGAGTATATCCTTTTTTTCCTCAAAATATTTGGAAACATCTTACGGTATGTTTTATTGGCTAAAGCATAATGCAAGATAAAGCCATAATGGGCAAAAACTAATAGCTTAAGTAGAGAATGGAGACTACTACAAAGATAGAGCATTAAATGGTAGTAATTAAAAGTTAGGGAAAAAAGAAATGGTTTGCAGAATAGAGGATTGAAATTTAAAGTGAAGTATTGAATATTGTGAGCAACATGTGTGTGAAAAGAACATATTTGGCCAATAGCAAAGCCAAGAGAATCTAGAGCATTGAATATTTTGCAGGACGCATGGCTCCATTTAATTTGAGGAAATAAAAGGCCATGTGAGAGTCTGTGATGGCCTACTCAGGAGCGGAGCAAAATAAAGAAACAGCACATGACATGATACATGTAATAGTAATACTACTAGTCCTAAAATGTTGCACATATTTCTAGCACTAGGACAAAATTTAATGAAACCCCCCAAAATACTAGAAACAAATAATAGAAGCCTAAAACAAACTAAGCCATTACTACTACCGGTAATAATAATAATAATTTACATGATACTGCAGCTCTCAGTGTTCTCATCACTGAAGACGTGCGTGATGGGATCCGCCATGGGGTGCGACGGCATTGGCGGCATCGGATAGTAGTTCATGGAAGGATGTTGATGTGGCCTCCCATACAACATGTGTGGTGGGTACATGTTCATGTTCATGTTCATGTTCATGTTTGCTTGCTGTTGCTGTTGTTGTTGTTGTTGGTTCATCAACATGGCCATGTATTGCTGTTGTTGTTGCTGCTGCATGTAAGGGTTAGGTTGTTGCATCTGCATCTGCATCCCTTGGTAGTAACCACCGTTCATCCCCGCCGCCGCTGCCGCAGCTGCTGCCGGTAGTCCTTGCACCGTCGGGATATTGATATTCCTCATGTGCTCCATGGGGCCCCTCTGACCCATTGGGCCCATCTGAGCCACATTACCATTATTGCCGCCATGACCATGACTATGACTATGACCCTTGTCATTATTATTTACCTTGCCATTACCATTTCCATTACCGCTCTTTCCATTTTTACCCTTGGGAGGGATATCAAAATCTTCAAAGTCAAAGTCAATTTTGTCGAATTTACCTCCTCCATCTTTCTTTCCTTTGTTGTTTCCACCGTTGTTGTTTTTGCTCTTGTTTGTTGTGTCGGTTGCACCTCCTTTCTTGTTCTTTTTTCCTAAGCCTAGGAACCGAACAAGGAAACCACCACCACCACCATTTTTGGCTTTGGAGTTCTTTTTCTTGTTACCTCCATGATTATCTCCCCCACCGCCACCCTTTTGCTTTCCACCTTTGCTCTTTGCACCCCCATCTCCATTACCTTTTTTTCCACCTTTGCCCTCGTTGAAGTTTCCACCTTTACCCTTCATTTGTATAGGTAGATCAATGACTTCACCCTTCTTCACACCCCCATAATTCCCACCTACATTCCCTTTATTGCCAGGCCCATTCATCATTCCACCAGGCCCATGTGGCCCACGTCCATTCCCCATCTGCCCCATCATAGCCATCATCTTGTTATGCTGCATAGGATGCCCATGGCCATGGCCATGGCCATGGCCATTACCATTACCATGTCCATGTCCATGTCCATGTCCATGTCCATGTCCATGTCCATATCCATACTCTTCCTCTTCATCCTCCTCATCAAAATCATCTAAATCGTCTTCAAAATCATCATAGTCATCATCAAATTCATCAAAATCACTCTCATCATCAAGTTCATCTTCTGATAAGTTGAAGTTGACAGATTTCTGATTCTTGGGAGGTACTTTTGACACTCCTTTAGTATTTTGGAAGTGTGCTAGTTGACCACCACCACCCTTGTGGTTCTGAGACTTATTGTCCTTGCCCCCTTTTGTGTTATCTATGTGCAAGTTCTTGAACTGAGGGTAGGTGTTGGGGTTGAACATCATGCCTCTCTGGCCACCCCAAAGTTCGGCATGCTTCCCTGACCTCTTCAGCTTTTTTATCAGTTTCGCTGGATCTACATGTCCTGACACCATCACCTTCCCTCGCTCCGCATCTATGTTCACAGAATACACCCCTGCACAACAAAATGCACCCACTCTGCTTAACGACAAAACCACTCAAGTAAACTGTCATGTCTCAACATCTAATTATCTTTGCTTACACAATACTACTACACAACAAAGTAAAGTTGGAACCTTTGGACCAACGAAAAAAAAAAAGAAGTAAAGTTGGTACCTTTCAATATAGGATGCAAGTAGACAACAAAATAACAAGAGTTTGAAAACATGGGGGTATTTTAAGTGGCATGGTAAAGTTGAGATGCAAAGCAAATTAACATCAAATGAAAGTTTGAAAGGAAAAAAAAAAAAAAAAAAA